AGAAAAATAGAAAGCCTAAACTACCTATTAATAGAAATAAGGCCTAATATAATATTTATAATATAAAAACTCTATAAAGAAAACTCTAATCTAATAATAATATATATTAAAATCCTTAAATACCTCTTTAAATATATATCTAAAATAAAAAAACTCACCCTAATACTAAGCAGCAGGTATAAGATAATAGATCTAAAGTTAAATAAAATAGTAAATTTAAAGTTAAAAGTATATATAAATATATCCTTTACTAATAATAAGTTAATAAAATATTTTACAGTAAGGTATATTATATTTATTAATAATGCAAGAAGTAAACGCTTATAATAACTTTAATAATAGAAGCTAAGTTTATAAACCTTACTCCTACAGGATATACGCTACTCTAGTTTTTTAATATACTAAGGGAAGCTAGACTAGTATAATAAATACTACTACTTCTATTTACAGACTTAAATAATATAAGGCAAAATATCCTAAATAAAAACAAGTAGGTATACATGTAGTATATTAATTTATAATATAAATAGATTATCTAAAAAACAGAAATAGGCTATTTTAATATATAGTATATTAGGATAAGTAAGATAGCAGCAGACAGACTAATAAAAGGACTAATATATTAGTTATATAGCTAATTTATCTAATAGCTTAATCTATAAGTGCTGCTAATGTAAAAAACACTAAGAAAATAAGAGAAAGGGTAATTATTATCTTATAAATAGCTTTACTTGCAGTGCCGTTATGGCCTGGCTAAGGGGTAGTGTTAAAGGTGCCTAAGGCACCTACCTTGTATATCAGCCGGACCTCCCGGCCCGAGACCTTAGTTAGCCACAGTCAATACACACACATCCCTCTCAACAAGTTTCGTTCTAGATAGAAGCAGGGGTTGGCTTACACTTCCAGTAGCGTAAACCTGGGTCGGTCACAAAAATTGGCGCCTTTCTTATCCAAGATATCCCTGGCTACATCGGCGCTGTTGAGCACGACTGTAGAGCGACCCAGGGACCGGACATGTATGATATCTGAATCTGTTGAAGGCAATGTCAGGGGCAAAATGCCCATTTGCATGTACTGAGGTCAAACTGACTGTAATCTTTCGACCATTTCGCGTATACCGCTGCGGCATTCTCCTTAGGTATAACACGGGAATGACCAAGAAGAAACTCAGAAGGCGGACCAGGTGGTAGTGGCAGCGTAGGTCGAGAGCGCCAATGGGCCCATGCAAGAAGCAAAATAGTGGCAATGGCAAGCGTCAGCCCAGGGAGGGCCTGAGATGGGTAGTGCTCTATCATGACTCGAGTTTTGCCAAAGTGAGTTCGAGTTTGGGTCACTTTGAGTGAAAGAGACGAGGATGTATTGGAAGAGTTAAGGTTAGGTATACCTTAGTCGAAACGAACACTCCAGGGAAGGAACAGATGCTCAGCTAATGGGAAGGAAGAACAGGCCATGACCTCGAGTTGCTAAGTTGACTACATCACGCACGAGAACTCCTTAGGTGTTCCCAACAGGGACAGAGCAACTAACTACCAGGTATCTATCCCTTTGACGGTCCTAAGGCGTCAGATGAATAATCAAGATCGACAACGGAGTCAAATAACATCCGGTGTCGGCCTATCTAATAAGAGAATCAAGAAGGGTGTCAAGGGGATCAACCATCCGCCTTGAATAACCTCCGTCCAGCGTTCCTTCCTTACATCTATCCGGTTCCATACAGCATTGACCCATCCATGATGTGGCCGCTGAGTATTAGCACCTTAAGGCGGGTAGCTAAAAACTTAGTACATAGGTGAACCAAGGATGGCTGGAGAACTGCTGCAAGTCTCTCAACTTATTGGAAACGAACAAAGCTAAATAGGTATAGTACTTTTTAACTACTAGGTACTTGCCCAGTACTCGAAGTGAGCAAGGAATGCTGTGGACAGTGTGACATCCTCTAAAAGCAAACGCTGTTGTAGGCTTTCTGATATATCATTGTTGAGACCAACGGCGAATGCAACGGTCGAACAGGCATTGAAGGGGAGAACAAGAAGCTTTTGGTTACCGGCGATATGCAAAACTGATCCTCTTTTCTGTCCCCACCTTCCCATGTGCATCTTTTGACCCTGGTTGCATGAGAGATAAGGAATCACTAGAGCTGTAGCCTTCACATTACCCACCAGTTTCCAGAGGACTTGGCTGTCATGTTAATACAGAAAAGGTTTTAGCCGACAAGATGACGGATAAGTCATTTAGCCTAAGGAATATCAGCTTGATCCTCCAATACATACCAGCTCATACGATGCAAATGTTTGCCTTGTTGTCTTGGTTGTTGTCACATCCTGTCTGCAGCAAAGCATTTCCCAAGATGCAATTGGCTACTTTTGTTCCGTCTACAGAACGTCGGTTCCGTTCCTTCGGGCCCAGATCCTGGCTGCGTTACCTCGCTACGCGAAAGTCAAAGCATACGCCATGAGCTCCAACCCCTGGGAAACAGAGCGCACCATCTCGTTTAGCAAACAAAAAGAGCGAGAAGAGTCCGCTAAGCTAGCACTGAACTTGCTTCTAATAAGCTAATAAGGACTTAGTTGCCGCAGTTGTACAAGCTGTACAAGGTGGTTGTCGAACTGATTCATGTGCTGATTTGACTACGGATCCGCGGCTCAGAAATAGAGAACGGGCGAGACAATGTGGTTCAATACCGACGCTAATAAGTGAGGAGCCGGCACTTGTCTTGTCATAACTGTCTTTGGTCTGGTCTGTTGCATATGCACCTACCTAGAAGGCTAGAATAAGGCCTAGGTTCAATAGTGCCTTTGGACATTGCAGCTCCCGTCTTGACGCTCCACGAGTTGCGGAATTATCTTTGCTGAAAATGGTCGAAACAGAATACGCTCCTGGGGACGTGATTGGAAGAAACAGTTCCCTCTCAACTTAGAACACATTCCGTTGTAAGGTAGCTGCCCCATCTACCTACAGGTAAACAAAGTTTTTATGTATTAGCGACAAGGAAGGCAGGACAAAACAACCCCACACCAAACTTGATGACTTTCACCTTCCACTTGCACAATGCACATGCCCCTCAGCTCTCTAACCCTCCTCGGGCAGGCGGGATCCATCTTTTCCACATGACTCGGGTCTCGACAACAGCAGCTCAAGTTGACAACTTAGGTTCTTCACCGCAAGCTGAACGTGTCCATATCGTAAACAAACCATCTTAAAGTTTGCGGCGTCATCGGCGAATCCCTGTGCACAAACGGCGAGAAAAGCAAATAAACAGACTTGTTTCAATCATTGCTTTTGCGCTCGGTCTCTCTCTGACGCTACGCGGGCCATCGGCTTTCGGCTGTTAATACTCACCCCTGACGTGATAATTCAACTACGGGGTACGGATACTACTACTACATCCTCAACTACCTACACACAGACAGCGTCATATTGCGAAAGCAACACCAGCTTTAATTCAGCCGCAATAAACCGTTCTGCAAATCTCTTCCAACCCACCTCTACGATGGCTTCTCACGCTAGCACTCCACACATCACCATTCTGGGCTCTCTCAACATGGATCTCGTTTCCTATGTCCCACATCATCCCCTTCCTGGCGAAACCCTCACCTCCAACCATTTCAACACTTCGCCAGGCGGTAAGGGCGCTAACCAAGCTGTTGCTTGTGGCAAGCTCTCTCGAGACTCGGACCTGTCCAATCCTTCGGCTGTCGTCTCTATGGTGGGTGCTGTTGGCGCCGATCCTTATGGTACCCTCCTGCTTGACAGCCTTCGCTCCTTTGGCGTTGCTGTCGATTCTGTAGCTATCCGTCAAGACCAGAAGTCTGGCCTAGCTATCATCATTGTGGATGAGCCCTCTGGCCAGAATCGCATTATCTTGTCTCCTGAAGCCAATCACTCTCTTCGGCCTGCTGAGTTTGAGACCCTTCCTGGCCCCCGTCCTGACCTTCTGATCATGCAGCTCGAAATCCCTTTCGATACTGTCATGCAGGCATTGAAAGCTGCCAAAAAGGATGGTGTTCCTGTCCTTCTTAACCCAGCACCGGCTCAGCCCTTGCCTATGGATGCCTACGATGGGCTGGCCCATCTTGTTGTTAATGAGACCGAGGCCGCCATTCTTGCAGATTGTGCTGAGTCTGAGCTTGATGACCTTCAAGGCTTGGACCGTATTGGCCGTGTCTTCATTGATCGCGGAGTCCACAATGTCATCGTTACCCTCGGAGGCCGTGGTGTCTATTTCGTCAATAAACAAGGCCAGAGCGCATTGCTCCCGGCGACTAAGACGACCGTAGTGGACACCACAGCCGCGGGTGATACCTTTGTTGGTTCTTACGCCCTGGCCGTTGTAGCCGCCGAAGATGGCCAATTTAATATCGAAGCAGCTGTCGCGGCAGCCAATCGAGCTGCTGCCTTGACCGTTGCGCGAAAGGGTGCTCAGATCTCTATCCCCTGGAAAGACGAACTTTAGACATGGTAGCAATACCGCCTTCTTCGTAGACAATCCAACAAAAAGCATTCGAATCTCACTACGTGTACGATTTCTTCATTTCGTTTACTACCTGGGTCAGTCTAGAACCATGACGCCCATCCCCATTTGCTCGCCTCCTTTTTGCCTCTACTACGCGCTGGCAATACTGCTCGGGACTCCTCCACTTCCTGCTCCCTTGTCGTTATGGACAAACCCGCCATCAAAGGCAATAAGCCCCTGAGGGTGTCAGCGCCGAGTGACCGCCTCTTCCATAACGTGCTGCTGTCAGATTTGCCAGAAACGGTTCTTCGGCTCTGAGTAGCAGGAATATCACTTCCATCTTGGCTGTGCTCTTCTTTCGGTCGTGTATGGGCCGAATTGTTCACCCCCGCGCCCCTAAAGGTTCTCGACCCTGGCAGACCTTCACGACTCTGCCTCGACAAGTAGCTTGACGCATAGCTACCACATCTGGATGACCCTTGTCTCAATCTCATCAGAGACTGAGGCTGTTTTTCTCTATCATCGAGATCGACCTCAGTGCAGTCTCGTTGAAGGCTTGCCTTTCTGGGGGGAACCCGAGGCGCAGGGCTATGATTCCAAGTGGGCTTTCCATGTGTGCTATAACCCTTTTTTTCTGGATGCTTCTGTTGCAAATAGTCCGTTTGCTCTGAGTCCTTGGGACCGTATTTTGCTGCAGAAATTTGTGTCATGACCTTCCTGGCGCTGGTGGCCCCCCAGTGTCTCTCTACCAGTGGTAATAGTGGGTTGGATCTTGAAACCGGAGGAGGAGACCAAAACGACATGGCATTGTGGAGTTTCACGGAGGCTGTGGCTACCGTCTTAATCTTGCTGTGCATGCTGAACGTGTCATCCTCCACAATCCCCATATCTTGACACATGGGAAATGCCGAATTTCGATATGACAGCCGCACGGTCATGTAGCTCACGGTAGAATCACCCAACTCCTCCTTAAGCGCCTCCATCAGGTTGTCCGATTCTAACCGTGAACACTTCTGTTTGCATCGCCGCATGCCCTTTGAGACATGGACCTGCACTTGAGCTAGAAGAAAGATGCTTGATCCGGGGTCCAAGCGGTGACTATTCCCGTGAATCAGCGTGCGCCTTGACCAGTATGGCAATCCCGTTCGTCTGTGTACTTACATGGGAAAGGGCTGCTCCTGGAGAATTCGAATAACCGAGGATTCTTCCGTTGGCAGAATTTGGACGTCCAAATCACCGAGACCGCCATCTTCGTCGGAGATCTCCCCTGCTTTGTATGCCGTCAGTACCTGTTTGTTCCAGAAAGGTGTCTTCTTGCGTACTCTCTTGGTGACATTGCGTCAAGCCAGCAAGATCCGTAAACAGATCTGGCCGCTCCTAATGGGCCCCTGGTCGACATTTCGTCGCACTTCCCGGCCAACGTCTGACTGAGACCTCGATAGCCACCCAAAATCTATGGCAGCCTTCTTCGATGGCGGTGGCCTCAGGTGTGATGGTAATCTGTGGTGTTGACCAACGCTCTAGCCTTGGCCGGGGCAGTGTCTCGAAGGGCTCAGTCAGTGCCACAGGTGGACTTGTTCTGAAGAGTGGCGACTCCTCTTCTTGGCTTATTGCATGAGGCGCCAGTGGTAACTCTGCATTAGACATAAAGGCCCTGTCATATATGTTGGTCAGAGGTGGGCGGACCTTGACAGGACGCCGCAAATCAAACACCCCAGGCAATTCGCTTGATCTCGGGGAGGGAAACGGGCGGCCTTGCCCCAGTTGGCCCCCCGGCTCTGGGCGCATCTGTCTTGTCTTCATGACTGATAGCTGGGGTGAGGGCGTGACCCCCAGGCCTAGGGGTGGACTATCACCATGCTGCACCTAGCATTTGGCTTCGCGCAAGGTCAGACTGCCTTGTCCTTCCATACCTGGGTCATCATGTGGCCGTCTTAAGTTTTCTTTATCTGAGTCTGCTTTTCCTGGGTTGATCTTGCGCCTCTTGGCGACTGTAAGAGACCCGTCCCCCTGAAGTGACCGTCTGTGTTTAGAGCTACATTGGTTAGAATTCTTTGCCGGATACCGCTTATTCATGTTCTCGTCAGCTTTCACGATTCTCAAAGGACTCGGCTTTTCGCAGACAAAGCTAGGATCAGAAGTGCATGTGTCCCAGTAGGGCAGGTCTTCGTAACTTTGGTTCGACATCATGATGTATACTGTAGTGGCGATGAGACTGGTCCCTCCCTATAATTTGTATCCTTGGTTCTTTTAAGTAGTAAAATTGAATCGGTGAGCCTTTTATTTGGGCCTTTGCGAGTATGACATAGTCAACGATGGTGGTTGTTTTGTTCTGGTCGAGGAACTTATACGATACGGCAAGTAGTGTAAGATTGCAAGAATGTTGAGAATGACCAAAGTTGCGAGATGAAAAATTAGCATGCTTTATGCATACAATGAGGAGGAAGACGATGCTGTTGTTGTGATGAACATTCTTGGTTGAGATTCAACTACTGGAGACGAACGAAGCATAAAGCAAGTTCGGGGGGATCTTAGGGGTATCAGAGTTGCTCTTGCTATTAGAGCGAACAGACTAGAACGGGAGGTCGTGCTATGCTAATGGAAGGTAAGACAAGAGGTGCAGAGTTACTGCCCTGATGTCGAGAACAATGCCCCTGAGCAGCAGCTACCCAAGGCACGACTGCAATACCACGTCTAAAGACGTCGAAAACACCAGAGACTCAAAATGATAGGGACTCTAGGCAGGTTGAGTTGAAGTTATGTGGCTTGGCCAAGTGTTCGACGCAGGTTGTCCTTCACAGAATCGATATCATTGTCCTCCATTGCAAGAAACTTGATCTATAGGTACAGAATTAGTAGGCAGGAAGAGCTTCTTGGGGAAGTAAATGGCCATAATAGGGGCAGAAGACTTACCAGGTCATCTGAATTCTTGGTCTCTCCATAGAGGACAGGCTCTGACAAGCTTGCAGAGACATTCTTCTTGACTCTATCCTCCCAGACTCCATCCCAATTCCACTCTCCAGGTCGCCTTGGCGTAGCCGTAGATGACCCCGATTTTACGCTCTCTGGCCTATGCTCGCTCTGCTCTTGTTCCTTCTGCTCTTCCTCTGCAGTTGTATCTGCCACCAGCTTCCCCGTTGCTTTGCGGTGCGTTCTCCAAGCGTGCCAAGCTCCCGGGTTTCCTGCCGCTGCGAGGGGTACTGAGTCGAGAACTTCTTCTGTATCAAAGGCACTGCGGATGTAGTATAGAACTTCATAAGCTGATACACTCTTTTTCCCGGTGCGCATGTACGAAGGTGTTCCCGATGGTGGATTTGCTGATGTTGTGGAGTTACTGTTCGAACCAGGACTCGTCATAGGTGCTTGTTTCGCTTCCACCATGCTCCGTCGTCCTCGCCCGAACCAGTCCGGGAACCCATGGCGCAAGCTGAAACCTCCTGGTGGTAGCCGTTCTTGATCCGAGGCACTCACTGTGCCGCTTTCTTGGATGTCGGTTGTGTACATGTATGTTGTCAAGGGTGTGATGAGAGGATGGAACATGTCTGTTGAGAAGACGACGACAGGTGGGAGTTGGGGATACGAGTCGGGGAATGATATTTGAAATCTAAGTATAGCAGGGCAATAGGGGCCTACAAGAATCACAAGATCAGCATCATATGTTAAGGCATGGGCTTGAGGAAGTAGACGAGTGTTGGCTACCTTTGCGAACGAAGAGAACACCAGACCAGAGCGTGGCATCGCCTGGGGTGAGACTAACAAATATGCCTTCAGGACATGCTTGCTTGAGCCCAGCGCTGAATTACATGTTAACTTAGTACTTTATTGTGTATCTTGGTAAAGAACAAACAATTCTGAGAGGAGCTGTTGTTTGCGCAGCGATGGCAATGCGCTCATATCAATGAAGGGCGGCATTAGTGTTACAGGCGCAATCGCGTATCGAGATGCTGTGTATCGTGAAATTGTGTTATATAAGAGGTTTGGGCGTAGGGGAATGAATTGGCTTTAGAGATCGCGTCGCATGTGTTTGTCGTTGTTAGATCTCCAAGCTTGAGAGCTCTTTGAAGCTATATGGCAGGCGGTGAAGGCTTACAGCTAACAACATGGAGGGGTGTTTGCATGCGCTCCAAGTCATGAACCAAACACAGGGCAAAAGAGCATCAGTATTATTATTTCAAAGAACCTTAGTTCGCAGAAACCTAAACCCTGGTATTTACAGAAGCTTGAGGAAATATAGTACTAAGGTATAGTACCTAGGCACACTGTAATACGTATCATGACAGCTTTAGGCCCGAGGTCATGATACCGTTTCCACTACCCTACAGTTCCGCAGATTCTGCCATGGGCTAACCGCGGGGTCATCTCATGCTGGTGGGGTAAGGTGCCTCAGTTGTGATATCACGATGCCAAAGAAAAACCCGAATCAAAGCATTTGTCTATTCGAATCCTATCTTCTGAGTACCTTCCTATAGACTCACAATCACAAATCGTAGCAGCACCTTCATCTCAATAAGATGCAAGCCATGGTCTATTCCCAAGCAAGTACTCCGTCATGAAACTTTTAAATCCTCAGCCATGCATGTCCTCTTTTCATGATGGTATCCCGCAAATTCCAATAAAAGAAACAAAGACCAGATTTATCGTCCGAGACGCTGCTCGATCTTGGCCTTTTCCTGTTCCCGGATCGTAGCCATGTCGTCCCTCGTAGCGTTATAAGAAGCCGTGACTTGGTTGAAAGGGTTGTCGGGATGCTTCTCAAATTCCTTTCTAATTCTGGTCTTCCTTTGATCCAGACGCAAGCCGACACCGCTGCCGTCCTTCTTCATCTCCTCGAGTCGTCGCTCTTCGTACTTGGCCAGTGCGGCGGGGAATCTGCGTTCGGGGTGTCGGTCGACCTTTTCGTCCTTGCCGCCTGTCAGAGCCAGAGCGTCGAGAGCGTTGTCGATACCGGATGCGCTGATTGCAGAGGGCTTATCGTCGCCGTCGAGCTGCGCAAGATCAAGACCGCGCGACTTCTTAACTGGAGCCTTGGACTTCTTGGGAGCCTTTCCGGGGGTGTTGGCGTCGTCCTCAGCCTCCAGAGCAGCTTTCTCGGCTCTCTTCCTCTCAGCCTCCGCAGCCTTGGCGGCCTGAGCTTCCCTGCATGCGATGTCAGCGACTCAGAGCTGTGCCCTCAAGAGACATCAGGGCTCACTTCTTGGAGGTGTTCTTGGCACCCTTGTTCCACTTCTCCTCCTCGGCAGCTTGTTGACGGGCGTCGTCGGCGGCCTGCTTCTGGGCGGCAGCCTCGGCCTTGCGAGCGTTGCCCGCTACCTTCTTGCTGTTGTCACCCTTCTTGCCAGCCATCGCGAAAGCTCGGAAAGTGGGTGATGCGTTTGAGTGGTGGGGACGATGTCAACGTGGTACGAGTAGCAAATCGGAGAATAGTAGGCGTGCGAAACGGAACGGGATCCTCGGCTGTTGTTGCAGCTAGGAAGAGCTGAATAAATGTGGCTCTCCTGGGGTTTGTTTGGGGTTGAGTTTCGTTGGTTGGAAGGAGAGGAAAAGTAGTGATGTCGTAACGTACGTCGGAGTCAGAGTCGGAGGATGGTGCCCAACTAATGACGGATGCCTGGGTCTGGAGTTTTTGGCGTACTGTGTGAATATATGCATTTTAGGGTCTGTTTCTACTGTGCTCTATATAACAATCACTTATATGGATAAGTAGCTTGAGGCTACTTCCATAATAGCATTCTCAGAAACTACAATATCTTGATTGCTTTGAAAAATACTTCACTAATAAATCGAGTATCTGTCCTCTGTGATTGAGTAAGTCAAGTCGTATGGTCAGTCTCAGGCCTCTCAAGGTTGATATCAGTCTTGGCCATTTGTAGTAAGTATCAGCGAACTGATCATGAGCAAGATAACAACACACACTGCCATCCAATTCATGATACCACGGTATCACCATTAAACCTGGAAGATATTGAGTAGCATCACATCAGCATTAGTCCATTACTCGTCACGCTCGCTTAAAATGCTCCGTGACGCTTTTGTCAACTCATGACGTGAACTGTCATGCGCGAATCCTAGGTACTATAGCCTGTAAGTTGTGAGACTTGAGCGGTACTTGGACAGACTCGACAACAAAGGCCTTACACTGCAGTGGTATCATGCCCCTGCCTGACAGTACAATACCAGCGACTTGCATCAATAGTCGAACCAGGCTGGCTCTGGCTGCTCACATGCCAACCCTTCAGCTTCAAAAATACATGGGCGCCTTGGATGGTTAGTTAGTCTAGCTGGGCTGGTCTGGTTCATGGTTGCACAGAGCTTCGAGTTACACAAGCAGGGGTTCTTAATGACTTGTTGGTGTCGATTAGTGCTAGCTCGAGAATGCCAGACGATACGATACGAGACTACAAGTGTGAGAATAAGACTGAGAGTGAGGAAATAAGGCTATTGAGCTGGCCGTAGCTTGCGATTGACTTTGAAGATCCCGTCACCCCAGCATCATCACCTCGCATCACTCACCGTTTGCCTTTGTATCGCGCTTATCATCTATGCCAATCAACTGCTCATGTTTCAGCAACGGCTATTACAACGAGGCGTATCGCAATCAAGCCACACGCTCTTTGTTAGAGGGACAAGGGGATGCAATTAAACTTCAGACCTCTATCCTATGTGACAAAAGTCCTTAGGTAAACTTAGTGTAATTTAGTATAGATATAGAGGATCTTAGACTAAGTAATTTTGGCACCTTAGTTTAACGTCAGAAGTCTTCTTACACCCTGAGGGAGGCAACATGTGGTTGTCAAGTTAGACTATCATGCCTGGCCTTACGGACTTACACGGTACTTGGCTGGCTGTAATCGGCCCGCGACAACACCAACAAGAGACCTCCATGATCAATATACAATTTGAGTACAACTTTGCCTCCCTCTTGCATTTCCCGAACCGCGGTATCGGGACGCTCGAACGGTCACCTCTCCCAAAGGGGAGTTGTACTCTCGCAACAGGCAACCAACTCGGATACTCCTCTATGAGATGGGAGCTGAATCCATAACCAATATTGACAATCAAGTTGGGGGCTGACAATAACTTGCACCTGTGCTTACCGCACATGACAACGAATCCTTTACCCGGAATTATCGGGCATAGATACATGCGAGACGACATGAACATCAACTCACCACTATCACTTGCGGTCAGCA